GAGCATGTGAGTGTGTGAGCATGTGTGTGAGCGTGTGAGCATGAGCATGTGAGTGTGTGAGCATGTGTGTGAGCATGTGTGTGAGCATGTGAGTGAGCATGTGTGTGAGCATGTGTGTGAGCATGTGTGTGAGCATGTGTGTGAGCGTGAGAGCATGCATGTGTGTGAGCGTGTGAGCATGTGAGCATGTGAGTGTGTGTGAGCATGTGTGTGAGCATGTGAGTATGTGAGCATGTGTGTGAGCATGTGAGTGTGTGAGCATGTGTGTGAGCATGTGAGTGAGCATGTGAGTGAGCATGTGTGTGAGCATGTGTGTGAGCATGTGTGTGAGCATGTGTGTGAGCATGTGTGTGATATGTGTGAGCATGTGAGTGTGTGTGAGCATGTGTGTGAGCATGTGAGTGTGTGTGAATATGTGTGTAAGCATGTGAACATGAGCATGTGAGTGTGTGAGCATGTGTGTGTGAGCATGTGTGTGAGCATGTGAGTGTGTGAGCATGTGTGTGAGCGTGTGAGCATGTGTGTGGAGGATAGAGGCTAATCCTGTCTGCCTCTCCCTGGATTCTGGGAATGGAACTGCCAGGCTTGGGAGGCAAGAGCCATCTCACTAGTCTCTCTTTACAATGTTTCTTTTTATTTATTTTGTATACAATATTCTGTCTGTGTATATGCCTGAAGGCCAGAAGCGGGCACCAGACCCCATTACAGATGGTTGTGAGCCACCATGTGGTTGCTGGGAATTGAACTCAGGACCTTTGGTAGAGCAGGCAATGCTCTTAACCTCTGAGCCATCTCTCCAGCTCCCACAATGTTTCTTTTACAACTTTTTTCCTTTGCATTCTGGAGGTGAAACCCAGGCCTTCAGCAATGGCAGGTCTGTCCTGAGCAGCCTGGCCCCTTGGCCCTATTTACAGATTTTTTTTTGGGGGGGGGAACCTTAGTACTGTAGTAATTAAGTTTATGTTAGTCTTATATGTCTTTTTTTAATTTATTTTTTTATTGAAAAAAATTTCCGCCTCCTCCCAGCCTCCCATTTCCCTCCCCCTCCTCCCACACCTCTCCCCCTCCCCCTTATATGTCTTATATATTGGTTTTCTAATTCCTTTAAGCTCATGTTGGTTCTTTTTAATTTTATTTATTTTGTGTTTATGGGTGTTTTTGCCTGCATGTATGTCTGTGTACCATGTGTATATGTCCAGGGCGGTTAGAGGAGGATGTTGGATTCTCTGGAACTGGAGCTGTCTTGTGGGTGCTGGGACTTGAACCAGGGTCCTCTGCAAGAGCAGCAGTGCTCTTAACCACTGAGCCACCTCTCCAGCTTGTTGATTTTGTCACTGTCCATTTCCTTAGTCACACTGGGTTGCTAGTGAGTCTGTTCTGCCCCAAGCTTTTCCAGCATTGCTGGATGGGACTGTTTAAGAAAACCCCACCCTCTTAATAACTCGGGGTCATTAGGTCCCAGCGGGAGCCTTGGTAAGAATAGCCTGATGCTGGCCTGCAGCTGCGCCCCGGGTGAGTTCCTTCATCGCAGTCCACAGCAGTAGCCACAACGCCCCCTTGAATTCCTCCTCTTTCCTGTTATCCACTCATGTAACTCCTGTAACAGTTTGTCTGATGACTTGGATATATATTGCCATGCATGTTTTAAACGTGTAAGCTCTGAACTAGGCAGGTAATAGATTTGGGTCTGCTAAGTGGAAGAAGGCAAATGGGCTTTGCCCTCTGGGTCAATTGCTTACTTCTCCTATGGAGAAATCATAAATAAATCTGGTGTGGCTTATCAGATTTTGTGATACTTTCTTTTCTAAGTTAAATTTATATTATTGTTTATTATTATTGTGTGTGTTACAGGTGTGTGTACCATGAGCTCTGTGGAGGCCAAAGGAGAACTTTTGGGAGTTGGTTCTTCCCTTCTTCTGTGGGTTCTGAGGGTGAAGCTCAGGTGTCAGGCTTGGGTAGCAAGTGCTTTCACCAGCTGAGCCAGCTCACTGGCCCTGTAATATTTTTTTCCTCTTTCTTACTTCTACCTCTTTTTTTTTTTTTTTTTGAGACAGGGTCTCACTCTATAGCCCTGTCTGGCCTCAAACTTACAAAAATCCACTTGCCTCTGCCTCTTGTTATATTTTTTTTTAATCTGACTATTAAGGGCTGGCAAGATGGCTCGGTGGGTAAAGGTGTATACCACCAAGCCCGATGGCCTGTCTGATGTCTACAGGCAGCCTTAGCATGCACATCTGTGCACATACACTATATAAGTGTGAGAAAATATTAAAAAAACAAAACCAATATGACTATGATGTGACAGTTGAAAGAAATGGACAAAGTCGAGGCAAATACAAACTGGTGCTTTGTGGCTGTGCACTTTAAAACACTGACTTAGGTATGGCAGAGCCCATTTATTTGATCAGTGTACCCCTCAAGCTGTGCACGTTCCCTGGAAAACCCGCATCTTCTGAAGGTTTCACTGGTGTGCTGGAAGCATGCTGGAGGTTAAGGGTGTGAGGAATCCACTTGGTCTGTTTGTTCTCCTGAAATGGCAAGGGATGCTATACAGCACTTGGGACCTTTTGGGATGACATAGTCTGCAGAGATTGTGGCTATAGGGCAGTGACTGACTTGACCTGACCTATTGTCATTACACTGTCTCCCTATTCAGTATATCCCTTTGTTTCGTGTATGTCTGAGTCCCTTTACCTGACACACTGCTTGACCTCTGTGCGCTCATCCTGAGCAGTGCTGGCACAGCTGTGCTGTAGCTGAGGTCTTCTGTGCTAGCGGCTGCTTGCTAAGCGCCTTTCACACCTCACCTCAATTCGTACTAGACTGCATTAGACCATAAGAGCTTTTTATTTCTCTCTGTTTTATTGACAAGAAAACTGAGCCCAAGCGGGAGCATTGCATAAGGGGCAGGAAGGTTGTTGACCAAACGCCAGACCCAAGGGCGGCCAATGGCTCTGCACACTCCACGCAGTCACTGCAGTCCTGATCTCAAGACAGTAGTTACCGCCACCAGGCCCCTGTGACACTGGCCCCTGTTAGCAGCCCATCAGGGAGAGGGGAGGGGCTCATAAGACCCTACCCCATTACCTCTGGCTACTGACCCTTGCTAGATTCTGGGGGAGGGGATCACTGTCTGCAGTTACCCACCCACTACTGAGTGCATCAGGCTCTAGTGTTATCTCCAAACTCCCGGCCACACACACGGCTCTGGCTGGTCTCGGTGGGTCCCAAAACAAAGGGAGTAGACACACGTGTGTGTGAGGGAGATTTGTGAGGGGTGAGGCGAGAGTAGACGGAGGCGGGAGGCAGGTGAGCGTGAGAGGGTTCGGTATGCATTATGCACGCGTGAGAATGTCTAAGAACAAATTAAGTTAATTAAAAAAGACCACTAAGGGCTAGATGGACATCTGGATGGACATCTGCACGATGGACAATGGTTCAGAGTGTGCGCTGCCTTTCCGGAGAACTGGAGTTCAGTTCCCCATGTGGGCAGTGTACAGCCCCCCCGGGACTCCAGCTCAGGATGGACATACGCACTCAAAGGCACACATACACATCCTTCAAAAATCAAATCTTAAAAAATAACAGAGACGGGAGAGAGAGCACGTGTGCTCGGGAGAGCGAGCTGAGCCTGGAAACCATTTATGGAAGCACATACCTATTCTAGTACTTAACAGTAAATTTGAGGTCAGCCTGGCCTCATGAGAGCCTCTCTCAAAACCCCGGAAGTGGGATGGGGAGAGAAAGGGAAAGAAAAAGAAAACGGAGCCTAGGATCACATGACAGTTAAGTGGTAGTGTCAGAATTTGAATCCAGAATTCCCAGGTTCAAAAGGCCAGGAGGCCCTGAGCCTTGTCACCGTCTGTCACTGAGGACAGACAGTCTTCTACTTCAGCTAATGCTGAATAAAAAATCCGTCACGTTGACAGTAGAGATTCCCACACAGCATTGCTGACTCCGTGTTTGGCTAATTAAACCAGACTCCCCTACATGACTGGTACCTCGATGGCATCTAGGGAATCGGATTTGGAATGGAAGGGGGCAGGAGAATACATTTGCTTTTCTCTGGATCATTCTGTATATAGTAGGTTCTTCCCTCCCCTTCCTTTTAAAATGCGTTGCCTGTGATTGACAGTTCACAGGACTAGTCTGCTGTGTGCCCTGGGCAGGTAACCAGGATGGTCATGCGCTCATGATTGTGCGGGTTGACGAGTGTTCCACCTTCCTTCATTGTGTCTTCAGCCTCTTGCACACTTCGTGGTCCCCTTCCACAGTGTTCCCTGAGCCTTAGAGGGTCTGTGTAAAGTAGGGTTATTATTTGCCATCGCCTTCGTAAAAATGTGACAGGAAGCAAAGATGAGTGTTTTCCTCAGAACAGTGGCCTCCTGCTTGGTGTTTCTCTTTTCCCTGTGGTGTGAGCCCCAGCTGTCCATGTTGTTTCCAGACTTGGCTTCTGTGGAGGGACACTGTCACCTCAGCTTGGGGCTGTAGCTAGAGGCTCCCCAGCAGGCACTCAGTGTTTTTCTTTCAGGCTGCTTGGCGCTGAAGGTAGGCCTTCGCTGGCTGCCCTGAAGTGTGGGCTGGGACAGCTGTGGGCCTTTCTCCACAGCCTTGCAGCTGATGGCCGAGGCGGCCCATTCACTAACAACAGAAGGAGTGGTTAAGGAGTAAATTGGCTCTCTTGATTTGGGGCAGGTAGACCCAGGGCACCGGGTTGAAGAGAATTATTCCTGTGCAGTCGGGAGGCCTAGGACAATTAAGCAGTCCAGACAGGTCACTAGGTGACACTCATTTCCTGGTTTGTTTATTTGAGCCAGATTGTTTCCCCACCTCGCAGTCTGCTGCCCTGGTGCCCTGGCCTGCTGAGAGCAGCCCTTCCTGTGTGATCTCTGAGGCTTCCCCAGAGTCCCAATGAGCCTTCATCTGGTTGGGTGGCTCTGGGGTCTCCCAGCTACAGAGTGCAGGGCGGGTCCTGTAATTCCGGACTTGGTGTTTTGCAGGCTTTTGGCTTCATGTCCAGGGTTGCCCTGCAGGCAGAAAAGATGAATCACCACCCAGAATGGTTCAACGTCTACAACAAGGTAACTGGACCTCTATCTTGCGATCACTAATTTGAGAATTGAAGAAACTGATTGTGAATGTGGTGTTGAGGATGTTCTCTTACTCTCGCTCAGAAACCCTGTGTCATTGTTGGCAGAGTTCAGGGCTTTCCTGAGAGCAGAAGTATAGTCCTTTGCTCCTAGACTTGGCTTCCAACATTTATTTTGGAAGTTTGGACTGTCCTGAGTTAATCGTGGATATTAGCCATGAAGATAGAATTTTACGTAGTTTTTGTGGAGGGGTATTTATTTGAAGGGGTGTATTATTTAAGTCAGAGTCTCCCTGTGCACCCTGGAACTCACTGAGAGCACCAGGCTGGTAGGAGGTCCTCCTGGTTTGTGGGATCACAGGCATGTGCTGCCATGGCCAACTCAGTTACCTGAGACCTCAGAGTTTTAATTTGAAAATAATTTATTAAAAGGAATAGTAGCAAATCAGATAGCATGGCGTTATGTGTCTCACTGAAATAAATCTCAACAACTGTCTCTTGGTAGTAAATGTTTATTAAAGATTTGATCTCCAGAAGGCAGACTAAAATCTTTGAAGGGGTGCAGTGAGAATATCCACACCCCAAGAGTGTCTCTCCGCTCTGCATAACTATCTAGAGTTCTTTGAGGTTTTTTTTTTTCTTATAAAGGAAAGCATTTAATTGGGGTTGGTTTACAGTTCAGAAGTTTAGATCATCGTCATCATGGTGGGAAGCTTAACAGGACGCAGCAGACATGGTGCTGGAGAGGTAGCTGAGAGTTCTACATCCAGATCGGTGGGCAGCAGGAAGAGAGAGTGCCACAATGGGCCTGACTTGGGTTTCTGAGACCTCAAAGGCCACCCTCTGTAACAAACTTACTCCAACACAGCCACATCTCCTAATAGTGCCACTCCCTATGGGCCTATGGGGCCAGTTTTATTCAAACCACCACATTCCAATCCCTGGCTCCCATAGGTTTGTAGCCTTATTATAATGCAAAGTGCTTTTAGCCCAACTCTGAAAGGCCCCATAGTCTGTCACAGCATCAATCCTGTAAAGGTCCAAAGTCTCTTCTGAGATTCATACAATCTCTTAACTGTAATACCCCATAAAATCAAAAAGCAGATCACATACTTCCAACATATAATGGCACAGTACTTATATCACCATTCCAAAATGGAGGAGAATGAGCACAGTGAAGAGATACTGGGCCAAAGCAAGAGCAAAAACTATCTGGAGACTCTAACCTCTGCATCTCCATGTCTGATGTCAAAGTGCGCTCTTCAGACTCCATTCCCTTCAGCTTTGTTGACTGCAGTGCACTTCTTTTTCTTGGGCTGTTTCCACTCCCTATTAGTAGCTTTTTAAAAAGTTGTTTTATTTTCCTCCCCTCCCCTCCCTTTCTTCCCCTCCCCTTCTGCCCTCTACCATGATCCCCATGCTCCCAATTTACTCAAGAGATCTTGCCTTTTTCTACTTCCCATGTAGATTGGATTCATGTATGTCTCTCTTAGGTTGTGAATTGTTGGCTGACTTTTCTTTGCTCTATGTCTAAAAGCCACTTATCCCACGTCCTCTGAGAAACAGAGGATTTCATTATTGTTATTTAAAAAGAAGCAGTTTCTAATTGTCCCGTTCCAGGATGAGCATCTACTTTCTGGACACTTTTGCTTTTTAATCTTGTTGAATGATGAGCCCATCCATGTTCCCTCATTTGGTCGCCTGCTTTCCTACCTCACTCAGGTACTGCCTGATAGGTCGGCTTGCCTATTCTTGGTGGCCTGAGCAGGGTTGGTATAATTAAAGTTCTGGGAGTTAAAATGGCGCTTCTGTCTCTGTTTATGCTTCCCAGGAAGTAAGATTTTCCATCCGGGCTGCTGACTTCCCTCGTCTTCTGGGAGCCTTCCCTCCTGGGTGGCTATCACACCCAGCTTGGTGCAGCCTGTACCCCAAGCTCCCTGGGTTTGGGAAATGCAATGTCTAGTATTTTCTAAATATCTACTTTCTGGTTCTCAGATAGGAATGTTGAGACACAGATTGACTTCTGAAGCACCCAGGTCTCTCCCGCAGGTCTGCTCAGATCTGAAAAGCTGTTTTCCCATCCGCAGGTCCAGATAACTCTCACCTCGCACGACTGTGGAGGCTTGAGCAAGCGTGATGTGAAGCTGGCCCAGTTCATCGACAGCGCTGCCGCTTCTCTGTGATCGCCTTCCATGCGTGTAAAGATCAGAACCTGGTCGTCTGCAGCGTTTTTAAGGCCATTCATGTGAATAAGTTAAATCATAAATTTGTTTGTTTTTACATATATACATTTTTGTATACTTGACGCTTAAATACAGAATGATTTGAACCCGAAGCTTGAGTTATTTTTTTATTACATCTAATCAGACATATAATAAGCCAGCCTGAGTTATTTAAAAATGTGACGCGTGTGTGTCTTCGTGTGAATACGCGTGTGTCCAGTTGCTTGTGGAGGGCACAGGTGCAGGATCCTCTGGAGCTGGAGTCAGGCAGTTGTAAGCTGTCTGACATGGGTGCTGGAGCTGTACTCAGGGCCTCTGCAAGAGCAGTGTTAAGTTCTTGACTGCTGAGCCTGTGTTCCTGGGTGGTAGTCATGCAAAATGGCTCCATGATAAACTACATCTTATTTCCTTTTGAGGGTGAGATCCATGTTTATTTTTGCATTGACAAAGGTTATAGTTAAGAAGTAAAAAGAAGAGAAAAGGACAAGAGGAAGATGGAGGACGAAGAGGAGAAGAAGCCTGAGAGACTCCCAGCTAGAGGGTATATAGTAAAGAAGGCCTTATAGCACACTGCAGGGAGGGGAGGTATAAGGGTGGGGTGTGGAGTATAGGGAGTGGGAGTGGGAACGTAAGCACAGTCCTAAAACCTAACCCGGAAGCACATGAAGACCATCGTGGAACACATATGCTGACGGGTGGATTGCTGGCCCAGCTATGCTGAGCTGGAAGGTGAAGTTCTCAGATCCTCTTGGTTCTAACTCAGTGGTTCTCAACCTTCCTAATGCTGTGGCCCTTTAAGGCAATTCCCCATACTGAGGTGACCCAACTTCATAGCTGTATTTTGCTACTGTTATGCTGTCTGACATGCAGAATGGTCTTAGGTGATCCCTGTGCCAGTGTCATTCGACCCTAAGCAGTTGCAACCCACAGCTCTAGATGCTTCCACATGGTGCCGTGTCGGTGAGGGGAGAGTGAAGCCATGGTCTGACCACAGCTTGTGTTTCTGGGTTTGTGGTGTGTGATGCAGGGAGGTGGTAAGTCCTCTGCTGGTACCTGCCCTTGGACCCCGCACTCCGTCTTGGCTTGTCTGGCGTATGGAAGGACATCACTTCACTTGCAGTTACCAAATACTTTTTAAAGCTTTGCTTTGTGTGTGTGTGTGTGTGTGTGTGTGTGTGTGTGTGTGTGTTTTGTTTTTGGAGACAGGGTTTCTCTGTAGCTTTGGTGCCCGTCCCGGAACTAGCTCTTGTAGACCAGGCTGGCCTCGAACTCCCAGAGATCCGCCTGCCTCTGCCTCCCAAGTGCTGGGATTAAAGGCGTGCGCCACCACCGCCCGGAGTGTGTGTGTGTGTTTTAAATCTGCAGATAATTGATTGGATGGAACTAGGTGTGGTGGCACACACCGGTAATCCCAGGACACCACACTTAGGAGGAGGGGCTGTAGTCCTAGGTCATTCTCGCTATATATGACATTTGGGACCAGCCTGGGCTATGTCAGACTGTGTCAGAAAATCAGTTTTAAAAAATTGTGTGTCTTTCTGAGACATGGTGTGATGTACTAGTGCATGCATGTATTCTGCATTGCCCAGCTCGGGGTACTTCCCTCTGTCTCCAACACTTAGCATTTGGGATCAGATTTGAAGTCCTCTCCTAATTTTATTATGTGACATAATATTGTTGAGTATAATCGCCAGGACTTGCTTCTTCTCTCCGGCAGGTATAGATGCTGTTATTTCTCAATTCAGTGTTTTAGTTGCTTATTTGAGTATTTTCCTACCAGCAATGGACCTGCACACATGTTTTAGAATATTAAGGACTAGCTGGGGTAGAGGCCCAACACACAAGGATGTGGGGTCCACCCCTAACACTGCAAATAACAGAGAAGAAAGACTATTAGGGACAGGAGGGACAGTGGGGTGGCTACCCCATTTCCTTGTAGCTCAAGAACTTGTGTTTTCAGGAAGTTGACTAACTCAGTGATTAAACTTTTAACATTACCCAGCAATCCAGATCTCCATGTCTTGCCTTGTGAGAATCAAGCCAAAGGGGGGGGGGAGATAGTAATTTTGAAGGTTAAACAGAACTAAATCTCTATAGCTCTTGTACTTAAAAACATCTCTAGGTCTTGCGCTCATTCCTCACACTCAGAAGTTTCCACATTGTTCATGACTATATCCTCTGAGGCAAGCAACCAGTATCGTTGGGAGTTCAGCCATGCTGGCTTGCAGGATCCTCCCAGCTGTGCTTGCTGACTGGAAGGAAGGATGGGAAGGCTTGCAGGACCCTGAGTATCCAGCCATTCTAGGGTTGCCTGCAATTCTGCGCTGATTGCTTGTGGCCTGAGGGCAAGGCTAGAGTCTATAGGCTGGTGAAGGTTAGGTAGGGGAGGGTGCCTCCATTTATGCATCTATGGGAAAGAAATAATTCCTGTGTGGCCTTTGGGAGGGAACTCCTACCTCCTGTATGTAACCCCTTATCTGTGCTCTGTAAGTAAGCCCAATAAACTCCCTGATTCCCTGGGCGTGAACTTTGATGGGGTCTTCTCTGAATTTGTCCTTGGGACTTTAGACACTTTACATTTTCCTCAGGAAAGGAGTCTTGGTACCTACTGTGGGACAATGGTCTTGTAGCCTGTAAAGGTTTGTCAGTTGACTGGTTTAATAAAATACTAATTGGCCAGTAGCCAGGCAGGAAGTATAGGCAGGGTGACCAGGATAGAAGAATTCTGGGAAGAGGAAAGGTTCAGTCTGCAGTTGTTACCCAGACACAGAGGAGGCAAGATGAGAATGCCTTGCCAATAAAACGTACCAAGCCACGTGGCTAACACAGACAAGAATTATGGATTAATGTAGGATGTAAGAGTTAATAAAAAGCCTGAGCTAATAGGCCAACCAGTTTATGATTAATGTAGTCCTCTCTGTGTTTCTTTTGGGACTGAACAGCTACGGAACATGGCAGGACAGAAATCTCCGTCAACATGTAACCACATCCAAAACTTCTAAATAACAAGACCTGGAAATGCTTTCTCTGCTTTCCCTGGGATTTTATGTCTACTGCCACACCCATTGCAATCTTCCTTTCCTTCTAGGTGTCCCTGGTGTTGGCTCTGGGTGTGTTCTGTTCCTTAGAAACTCAGAAAACTTAAATTTTCCTCCTACATTAGCCTCGACTTGTCTTACCATCTTATAAAAGACCTTTGTCTGCAGAGTGGGCACACTATGTGGGGACGTCTTCACTTCTCCAGTGTTGTCCTGCTTTACCTTCTGTTGCTAGGTGCTCATCCTCTTTGGGGCATCCCCGCCTCAAGAAGAGGGACTTGTAAGTGGCTGAGCCCACAGGCCTTCTTCTCAGGCTAGTAACTGCCGGAATGCCTAAGAGTGACCTCATAGAGCAGAGAACCCATTCCAGGGTCCCTCTTGCTGCTTCTTAGAATCCAGGTGCCGAGGAAATCCTTAGGCAGAGGATTTTTGGTTATATGATAAAAGCAAAGGATAAAAATAGAAAATTTGGGAAATGTCCCAATACTTTCACCACAACCCTGGAAGGGTTGTGTCTAGCTCACTGTTTGGCACTGCATCAGAGGCATTGTATGCAAGACTGAAGAAGATTAAGTAAGTATCCTTTATCTCCATGGTTAGAAAGTGTGGGAAGGGCACTGTGGGGACAGGCTCATGAACTCTCCTAGCCTCTTCTATAGGGACTTGTCTGCATCCCAAGGGAGAAGAGCTTGTCTCAGACATGCTGGTTTCTCTGGAGGGTGAGGCTGGTACATTTGCTGTTCACCTGGAGTTTGAATTAGACTCCGTGTTTTACTAAAGTATTAATTAATTTGAAGGCTTTCCCCCCTTTCTTTTTCTACAAGACCTATTTCAAATCAAATTACATATTTTGTTATAGATTATAAGGTATATAGTCTGTAGCAGGCTTTCTTGGTTATGAATTATTATTAGTTATGAATGCTCAGCCGTAACTTAGTCTTGTCCCACCAGCTGTTATAATTTAATTTAACCTGTTTCTCTTCATCTACAATTTGTGTTGTGGCTTTTTACCTTTCTTTCATTCTGTATGTCCCAGGTCTCTCTTTCTCCCTTGTTCTCTCCTTCCTTCTCCTCCAGAGCCTAGATTCCTCCTGCTTGTTCTCTCTGCCTGCCAGCCCCACCTATCTCTCTACTGCCTAACCGCTGGCTGTTCAGCTTTATATTAGACCAATCAGATTCCTTAGAGGCAAAGCAACACATCTTTACATCATTAAACAAATACAGCATGAACAAATGCAATACACCTTTACATTGTTAAAGTAATATTCCACAACATTTTCCCCTTTTAAAACCTAAATAAAAAGGTTTTAAATGTAGAACTGTATACAATAAGAACAATTATCAAGTGAGAATTACATTTACAATATCTAATCCATTTGTATTTGGCAAATTCAGAGAAAATACTCCATTATTTATCCTATCTTTTTTTTTAAAAAAAAAGATTTATTTATTGTGTACATTCATGCTTGCAGGCCAGAAGAGGGCACCAGATCTCATTATAGATGATTGTTAGCCACCATGTGGTTGCTGGGAATTGAACTCCGGACCTTTAGATGAGCAGGCAGTGCTCTTAACCACTGAGCCATCTCTCCAGCCCTGTTTATCCTATCTTGATGAGTCCAAAGTTTTGTACCTAATTTACCTTTAATCATAACTAAGGAGTACTATAACGATCGAGTCTTCAACTTCATCAAAGACCTCAGAAGGAGATAATATTACCTGAGTAAACAGGAAGTACAGTGCAAGCCACTTCTAAAACTATAGAAATGGCAAAGACATCTGACTGCAGAGCCTCTTAAAGGAGCCATATCCAGTTTTGTTTTGTTTTTCCAGCTTTCTCAGGCCCTGTGTGGAAGATTGGGCCCCACAATGGAATGCCAAATGTAGCAGTCTTTCTTTTAGGCCACTAACCAGCTCCCAAATCATGGCATGGAGACTTGTTATTAGTTACAAATGCTCGGCCTTAGCTTATGCTTGTCCCAGTAGCTCTTATACCTTAAATTAACTTGTTTCTCTTCATCTGCCTTTTCACCTCAGGGCTATTTACCTTTCTTTCCCTATGTATGTCTTACTCAGTGTCTGGCTAGCTGGGGGCTGCCTGCCTGGCTGGCCCTGGGCATCTCCCTCTTTTTATCCCTCCTCTCCCCTCTCTCTTTCTCCTACTTATTCTCTCTGCCCACCAGCCCTGCCCATCCCTCTACTGCCTAGCTATTGGCCATTCAGCTTTTTATGAGACCAATCAGGTGCCTTAGGCAGGCAAGGGTGAAACAGCAACACATTTTTACATAATTAAACAAGTACAGCATGAACAAATGCAACACATCTTTACATCATTAAAGTAATATTCCACGATAATAGTCTGTGTTCTTTTTGTTGTTTTTTCTTTGTGTTTTTCGTGAGTGTCAGCATGTGTGTATGTGTACCCCCTGCATCACCTGCATGTGTGGTGCCCACAGAGGCCAAGGGGGCTTCAGCTCCTTGGTGGTCTGTGTCTTAAGGTGAAGGCCTCACTATGTTGTAGGCACAAGCTGTCATCCTGCCCCCCTCTCGTGTGTGTGTGTGTGTGTGTGTGTAAGAATGTATTCATTTGCTACAGATAGTAAAGCACACTACTCTTTAAGAAAACTTTTAAAGCGCAGATGAATGTGACCAAACAGGAAAAAGAATGTGGCCTATCCACTCCCGCGGGCACTGCTGGGATGTGGCTGCCATCGCTCTTGGTGCCCTCTGTACTTGTACATGGATGAAATCTTTTTGAGATGAGAATGTTTTCATCTTGTTTTTGTGCTCTGTTCTCCACCAGATCATCAATCATTTTTCTAAGCTGTGAGAAAACGTGTAGATATACTTTAGGAAATACTTCAGTATTTCATGGTATGATATCCCTAGTTTACTTAACCAGTCTTTTAAAATTATATATATGGGCATGTGTGTGCCCCGACACCTTTGTGGAGCTTAGAGGACAGATTTTGGGGTTGTCCATGTGGGCCCTGGGGGTTGAGCTTAGGTTGTTGGGCATGGCAGCAAGTGCATTTATCCTTTGGACCATCTCACCAGCCTGTAACCAGTCCTTTCTGTTAGATTTTAAAATCATTTCCGTGTTCTCATCACTATAAATACCCTGGGAGAAACGTGTTGGACTAAGTCACCACGTACATTGCAGGTTGTGTTCTTTAGAGTTTGGGGGAGAGGAACGGTTCTGGGTTTTGTTTTGTTTTTCATCAAATTAAGCTGACCAGTGTATGTTTCCCTGTTCCTTAAGCATGTCCATCACACTCCCCGCCCCCCCAATCGCTGGTGTTCACTGTCACATGGAAATTTGGACTAAATTTCTGGGAAGAAGCATGAAGGTGTTACTTTGTATCCCCGATTCCATTTGTACTGTCATGATTGGATGTGTGTCCCCTTTCTGTGAGAATGTTTGACTTTTCATCATAGATTGTGTGTGCATGGGCGTGCGCGTGGGTGCGTGTGCTTACCCATTATCAGTTTCTCCTCTGAGATATGTTCCTGCTTCCCTGGTGTTTACTGACAGTAGTCACCTCAGGACGGTTTGTTAAGTAAGTGGAGATAGTGTTTCCTGGGTCTGAGAAGTGGTGACTGTTCTTTCTCAGAAGTCCAGGTAGAGGCTGGGGACAGGCTGTTCTGCTCATGTGTCGCAGGGCCTCCTCTGTATGTTTCTTTTTACGGTGTGGGGAAAACAACCCCTAAGAGGGGTGCATTTGAGCGGGAATCAAGCTGTCTGCGGTAACCACACCTCTTGCTTGCCCCTCTGACAGGAGGAAGGACGTGGACTGTCAGAAGTTCTTCAGGAAGGTCCTCAAAAGCTCTTTCTTCCAGGTGCTCATGATCAGCGCCATCACCACCAATGCCGCCTTCATGGTCTTGGAGACCGATTACAACATACATTATAGGATGTTCCAACTCTTCGAGGTGAGCACGTCAATGCTTCTAGTCTGCATTGTCTGTTTTATTTCTGAAAATGTTAAAATATTTCATGGGCATTTTGCTGCTAGAACTTTTCTATAGAAACAGTTTAAAAGACCTTTGACCTCTGCAGTAGCATCAGAGAGTGGCAGAAGCAGCAGTGGCAATGTTACTGGACAACCTCCCTGAATTCTGTCTTATTTATAGACAGAGGAACTAGATTTCATCTCCAAGACTTATGGGCAGCTTTCCCAACCATATTAGTGCCAGTCCCTATGAGGAGGAAGCAGAGGGGCACTAGGGGGCAACTGTGCTGAGTTGAGGTGAGGATAGCCATCCAAAGCAAGAATTGTGCTGCCCACACCAGTAGTGAGCACAGAAAGTTCTCAGGCATCTCCGAAGGGGCTAGAACAAACCAGAACCGAGGAGTTTGCAGAACTGACCAAGAAGGGCTCCCTCCAAAGGACTGTGCACTTAGAATGGATGTAAAATCTAGCAGGCTGGAGACAGCTAAAAAAAAAAATAGGGTTAGATAAAACAGAAGGAAATAGGATTCAAACAGTTCCTAAAATGAAGTGGTGTACTTTCGGACAAAAGTTGAATGGAGTTAGAAGCATAGTTCTTCAAGGTTAGGAAATAAATTTAGGAGGAAAAGCACAATAGGAAAGGAGAAAGGTAAAATATCACACCTTATCATAAGAAAACAGAACAAGGAATCAGATCATAGAGGTGTGAAACCCTACTGTAAAGATAAGTCTACAAAATCAGATAAACAGGAAAGCATCCAACCCCAGAGCAAAGGAATGTTCACGAAGACTCTGCAGGTATAGGAAGGAACGGAAACAAAGTTTTAAAATTTGGGAAACAACTAGAAACCAAATAAAACCATTTAGAAAACAAAGGCTAAAGTAGAGCAAGCAGCTAAATACAGCCTGAGTTAAACTGAGGAATTAAAAATCTCATTATGAATGGAAGTGATGAGAAATACTCAGAAAGTACTAAGTACTGGCATTGAGGGGCAGTGCCTGGGTAGGGACAGTGGGAACTCTTGAGTTTCAAATGTCCAGGGGTCAGAATGCTAAAATCTAAACCCAAGGAAAATAACCTCAAAATCTGTATGTCAAAAGGGTGCACATAGCATACCCAAGAATATGAACTCAACCCAGCAAACGCTAGGGCGCTGGAGAGAAACAATTGAGCTTCGAAGTGTGGGGAGTCCAGCTAATGAAGAGGCCAACTGCCATCACATTTCTCCATGGCTGTGCTCTCTGCCCACGGAGAGTGGGGTGACAGTGCAACTTCCTCAGGAAAGAAAATGCGAACCAAGAATGTGAACGGAGGGGTCTCAGGCTTTCTAAAAAGGTTCCAGACTCATTGATGTTCAGAAACATGGTATGTGCTTCCCTGCCCGTCGTTAAGAAAAAGTCGCAGCCAGCCCAAAAGGCTGAAGAAGGATCGCTTCGTTGCTTTGGTGATGAACATGGCAGGTATAGTTGTTTGTAGAAGTAATGCTGACTGTTATTTCACAGGAAAAACATAGCCTATAATGAATATGTTCTTTGATCCTAAGGTGATAGCAGGACTGAAAGATGAGAGCCATTACAAAAAGTTTTGTTTTTTTTTTTTGTTTGTTTGTTTTTGTTTTTCGAGACAGGGTTTCTCTGTGGTTTTTGGAGCCTGTCCTGGAACTAGCTCTGTAGACCAGGCTGGTCTCGAACTCACAGAGATCCGCCTGCCTCTGCCTCCCGAGTGCTGGGATTAATACAAAAAGTTTTAAAATTTTATTTTTGTTTTGTTTTTTTAGACAGGGTTTCTCTGTGTAGCCGTGGCTGTCCTGGAACTCACTCTGTAGACCAGGCTGGCCTCAAACTCACAGAGATTCCCCTGCCTCTGCCTTCTGAGTGCTGGGATTAAAGGCGTGTGCCACCACTGCCTGGCAAAATTGTGTTTTTATTTTTAAAATTATTTTATTTTATTTTTTTGAGAACTTCATACATACATACAATAAAATATAATCATATCTATCTTCCTTTCCCCCTCCAGTTTTCTCCATATCCTTCCCATGATGCCTCTAGCAAAATGTCATATCTTTCAAATTTTTTGATGGCTCACTAGGTCCAGTTAGTGTATAATTAGTTACTCAGTAAGTGCCTGTAACACGGGCTGGCCCTCCGAGAGCTGGCCAGCAGGAAGAGCATTTCCTGGTCGGTTTGAGATGACTTCTTTATGACCTGTTCCTTATCTGTCGTCCTCTCTCTTCTGAAAGCATGTGCTGTCTTCAGCAACAGGGTCTTATCACGCGGACCCATGTTTAACCATTGCCTTAGTCGTGATGCACATGGTAGTGTTATTCTGAGACACTGTGGAATCTGTGATTCAGCACATGGGCTATTGTGGACTTTTTCTGTTTTTTTTTTTTTTCAGGGTGAAGGGTGTGCTCACACATAGTAGGCAAGCACTCCACCAGCAGCTTACATCTTCCACCCAGGATGGCTTACATTTTGTTTGTTTTCTTCCATCTTCCGTGTTGTCTGTTTGTGGTATTTATCTGTCTGTTTATAGCAAGATTTTGTGTGTAGCCCAGGCAGACCCAAACTTGGGTTCCTTTTGCTTCAGCATCCTGATGCTGGGACCACCCCATGCTACTGAAAATGAGGATGCTCATGGAAAAGGGAGATAGAGATGTGTAGACACCGTTGAATTCAAAGTCTGTGGTTCTGTGCTTGCTTTGGGAATATCAGCATTAACATCAGGGGCGTTTTATCTTCTCCACCAATGGCTAGAACACAGACCGACACATTCTTGGTATCTATGATGAGATGTTGGAACCAGAGCTTAGAGAAACAGCTTATCCTGGATCTTGTCATCTTCCCTGTAAGAAAGCTGTCAGAGTTTATTTGCAAAAGGATGCAGAAGATAATTTGGGGATACTTCTGCTGGCCACAGATGAGACAACGTGAGGCATAAGGATAATAAGTACTATGGTTAGAAAATCCTCAAAAATTGAAGTGAGGCCAAGGAGGCAAGGGACTAAGTATTCCTCTTGAAAAGGAAATTACAGAGTCAAGCTTTACTGGTATTTCTGACATGAGCCCTAACCTTAAGGGGTCATCTACTGTGAGGCTACTCCTACTGCAGTTCCTGATTGTTCCTTTGGAGACAAGTCCATGCTCTGCAGCCCAGGTTGGCTCCAAACTCATGACCCTTCTGCCGCAGCCTCCCAAGTGTTGGGATTTCAGGTGTGTCACCATGCATGCTATTTCTATAAAGTGTTCTAGCTGGTAAATTAGAAATGATAGCATGTCACCCACTTCAGCTCTGGAGAAGCAATGGCCATTGAGTATCAACAAGAAGCCAGCAGAACTATGTGCCTGCTCTGAAAAGGGGCACCTGCAGCCTTGCTTAGGGTAAACCTGAATGTATTCAAGGAACCAACTGTCCACTGCCAAGAAACAGGGAGGAGAGGAAGGGCATGCTACAAAATGCAGACTGGAATATTCTTCAGTCATGCTACGTGGATTAAAAAATTATTTCTCTCTCTCTCTCTCTCTCTCTCTCTCTCTCTCTCTCTCTCTCTCTCTGTGTGTGTGTGTGTGTGTGTGTGTATGGGTGTGTGCTGAGATACCTATGGAGTCCAAAAGGTAGTGTTAGATCCTCTGCCTCTTGAGTGATTGGCAATCTTGAGCCACCTGGTGTGGGTGCTGGGGAATTAGCTTGGGTCCTCTGCAGGTGTTCTAACCACTGTTCCATTTCACGGCACTTGGAGTCCTTACCAGATAATAGGCAAGGCATTAAAAAATGGGGGTTAAGGAATTTTATGGTAAATACTAAATTATTCTGGGAATATAGATATAGGTTTCTATTATAAAGAGCCAAGTTTTAATAAATAATAGGATGCCAGGCCGTGGTGACACATGCCCTTAATCCCAGCACTTGGGAGCAAAGGCAGGTGGACCTCTGTGAGTTTGAGGCTAGCCTGGTCTACAAAGTGAGTTCCAGGACAGAAAGGACTAAAAAGGGAAACCCTGTCTCAAAACAAACAAAAACAAACAACAACAACAAAACCAGGAAAGTTGAAATAATTGCCTGTATTTTATATGATCACAATGGAAAATAAAACTACAAAGCCAGAGCAAGAGAAACCCATGGAGTCAATGAGTTCACTATTAAACAACGAATGGGCCCTCGAAGGAATCAGGAAATAAGAGCATTCCTAGAGCAAATGAAAAGGAAAACATAGCACAGCAGACCTAGGGAATACGTGAAAAAGTCCTAAGAGGGAGGTCATAGCTGTAAGTGTCTGCCCTTCAAAATTGGGCGGGCTGGTGAGATGTCTTATGAGGTAAAGGTGCCTGTCCCATGAGCCTGGAAACCAGAGTTCAATCCCTGGAATCCAGAGAATAGTGGAAGGAGAGAACCAGCTCCAGAAAGATCTCCCCTTGACTCTCCTAGCTCCTCTGGCTATGAAACACACACACACACACACACACACACACACACACACACACCGCACAAGCACACACACACACCGCACAAGCACACACACACCACACAAGCACACACACACACACACACCGCACAAGCACACACACACACACACCGCACAAACACACACACACAAACCCTTTTACAATGACAAGAGAAACTAGGTTCCAAACAAATTACTTACTGATCCAACTCAGGGCGCTGGAAAAACAACAAACCAAACCTAAAATTAGCAAATGGTAGAAATAATTATGATCAGGATGGAAATTAGTGAAATAAAAATGATTAAAACAAGAGAGAGTATCAAAGAGTTGCTTCTCTGAAAAGATAAACAAGTTTGGAAAACCTGTAGGGTCAGACCAGAGAAAGAGGGCCCTAAATAGTAAAATAGAGAGGAAAAGGGAGCCATCACAATGCAGAATGTAATTAGATATACCTTAAAACCTTATAGTTCACTAAATCGAAAAATCTTAAAGAAATGAATAAATTTCTAGATACTTCTTTGACAGTGAAAATGACCTTTTATTGAACATCACATACTGGTAAGCACAGATGACCAAAATGCTGTGATAAATATTAGAAACTAAAGATTGCACATGTATATTTACCATTCAAAGGAATTAGTACAAGTATTTTCTTTTCTAATTTTTAGGCTACACTACAGATCTGTCAGTGGCCCCATCACAGGCCATCTTTAAACAGGCATATATGTGGACCATCTAGCTAGATTTGTCAATGCTTTGAGAAATTGAGAAAGAAAAAAATACCTTTTCTTCATTTAGATTAAAAATAGATATTTTTCACACGAAAGAACAAACATGCAAGTAGTTAAGAGGCATTTTTAAAAATGTTAAAGATATTTTAAAAATTAAAATAGAATTGCATGATTTCCCTTAGATAAATCCTTTTATTGGATCTGCAACAAACAATGAGATTGAAGCAGTAATAAAAATTTTATGACTGGAAACGTTCAGGTCCAGAGGATTTACTGACGAACCCTATCGGTCTTTGGAGAAGGGTCAGTTTGTCAAACCTCCACACACCAGGGGAGCAGAGGTCATTAGTGACTTTTTAGGAAGCCACGGTTACCCAGATACACATACAAGAGAGAGACAAAGAACAGTCTCCCCAATGAACATAGACACAAAACAGTTCCCTCTGAGATTTGCAACCCAAACCTAAGAACACAGCAAGGTCCCTCACCGTGCTAAAGTTACACACGCAGGTAATGAGGGATGGTTCTGTAGGAACAGATGGACTCAAGGACAGAAATCATGTGATCTCAACAGAAGCAGAAAACACTTCCGATAAAATCCCAAATCCCTTTGTGAAAAAAGGTCCAAAAAGACAGGCATAGAAGGAACCCGTGTTGACACAAAGGTTCCATGTGAAAATCCTACAGCCAACAGTGGGAACTTGGGGAAATGGAAAGGATTCCCACTAAAAGTACATTGCCTACCTTACCTGATTGCTGTGTTGTTGGCCATCTTAGCTGGAGCGGTAAGAGAAGAGAAGCAGATAGATCCAACAGGGAAGAAAGAGTTGGGTTCTCTGATTGCAGATGATGATACCACACATGAGACCACCAGAAAACTGAGAACATCTGAAACACTCTCAGCAAAATGGCAGAGCATACAAAACTAATGTATGAAAATCAGAAGCCTTCCTGTCAACCAAGAACAAAGACGCTGAGGAAGAAATCAGGGGAACAACCCCATTCATAGTTACATCAAAACCAAACCACGCTGCCCCACTACCACCCAAACAGTGTAGGTCCGTGGATGAAGTCTTGTGCTGCTGAGCCCAGAGACCCAAGTGCAGTCTTCCATGGCAGAAGAGAGAACAGACTCCCACTAGTTGTCCTTGGACAACCACATGCTCACTGTGCCCCCCAACTCTCTCTCTCCTCAAACCAGGTACAGGTGTGTACATATAGAATTCCAGTATTCCTACTCCAAGATGGGAGGTGGAGATGGGAGACTTTGGCTGGAACTCTCGGGCTAGCCTGGGGTTCGCAGTGCTGTGGAAACGGGGGGAGACTTTGCTTCAACAAGATAGAATGAAAGAACCAGATTCTTGAGAGTTGTCCTCTGACCTCCACAAGTAGGCCATAGCAAGCATGTGCTAGCACACACACCTACACACACAGACACACAGACACACACAGACACACACAGACACACACAGACACACACACACACACACACACACACAACCCGGAACACACCATACAGACTAATAAGGACCCCTAGGCAATCGTAGAGCCATTGAGTTGTAGGCAAGGGAGAGACATTCAGAGGAGATTGATTCACAGTATAAACGTTGGAAAAAAGCAGAATGAATGTCCTTTAAAAATGGGATTTTAGTTGACTGATTTTTGAGTATGTATGATGAAGGTAATGGATTAAATATAACTATATATTTGTATACTTAAAAGTGTTTATATTCAGGATGGCCAGAAAACCCTTGTGACTTTCTCTTGGGGGAAGAGTTATGTCAGGAGGTCTGCTAAGTTGAATACTGACCAGGAACTGTATATAGAGCCATTTGCGGCCAGCTGCTCAGCTACGAGGTAGTCATGTCTTGCATCTAGGGGAAACCTAGCCGCCCTAGGCTTAGTGCCACAGGCAAGGAAGAGCAGATGGGGAAGGGATTCAGGCTCAGTAAGAGAGCTGGGGGCTCTGTCTGGGGTTTTCCACACCTGGCTGGGTGGTCTCAGCAGGGAGAGGGCCAGGATTATGGGGCTCTGCCGTTGTTTTGATCTATGACCCATGTGACCCCTGCAGATCTCCGAGATTCTCTTTGTCTCCATCTACACCTGTGAGTTCCTCATGAAGGTCTATGTGGACCCCATTAAATACTGGAGCGATGGCTATAACCTACTGGATGTGGTCATTATCTTTATCATCTTGATACCCTATACCCTCCGAAAGATCAAGGGACGACTTTACAAAAACCTCAACATTGCTGACGGGATACAGTCTCTGCGAATCCTGAAGCTTATCTCCTACAGCAGAGGCATCAGGGTACGTGCCTCCTGTGTGTGCACCCGTGCATGCCTGCGTGGGAACGGGGGGAGGGGGTGTTGGTGTGAGATAATGCCTAGTTGGGCATGGTAGCACATGCCTTTAATCCCAGCACTCAGGAGGCAGAAGCAGTCCGATCTCTGTGAATTTGAGGTCAGCCTGGTCTACAAAGTGAGTTCCAGAACAGCCAGGGCCACACAGAGAAACCCTGTCTCAAAAAATCAAGAAAACAAAAGATCGCTCAGAGAGGAGGCAAAGTGAGAGAGAACAGCAAATACAGAACCAAGCAAAGGCCAGGCCAGGAAAATCCACACTGAGGAGGCAGCCTGGAGGAATCAAGTAGTAGCAAGGAAACTGAGGCAAATGCCTTTCAGATGGGCAACAAGAGGTTGTTAGCATCCTCAGAGAGGCTAGTCACTCAAGAAGAATGTAAATGGAGATTGCACTTTTGTTTCCTGACTGCCCAGACCTGAGCAATCACACAGAAACTACATTAATTACAACACTGTTCAGCCAGCGGCTCAGACGTATTCCTAGCTAGGTCTTACATTTTAAATTAACCCATTCCTATGATTTTCTATTTTACCATGAGGCTCATGGTTTGTTACCTCACATCTTGCTTCTTGGACAACTACATGGCGTCTTCCTGACTCTGTCATCTTTCTCCCTGCATTCAGTTTAGTTTTCCCGCCTAGCTCTATTCTGCCCTGCCATAGGCCAAAGCAGCTTCTTTTAACCAGTGGTAATAAAACATATTCATAGCATACAGAATGGCATCCCACATCAGGTGAAGAAAACAGTCCATGGTGAGGGACAAGGAAGTATGAACAGGAAGTACAGACACTGGCCTGGAACTGGAGAGGAGTGAGACCTGGGCACACACATATGCACACATAGGCACGTGATTACATGGGTGTAAGGAATGAGTAGCTGTGGGTGTATGCCATGGGGAGAGCTCACATTTAGGGCTCACACACACCCTACTGGACAAAGACAACAGACCCAGACAAGCCTCTTCCTGGAGACCAGGTCCCTGGGCAAACATGGGCTGAGGATGCATGCCTGTAGGATGGGTTGAGGTTGAGACATGAACCTGAGGCTGTTCTGAAATGTTCTAAAGAATGTTCCAAGACTTTGGCAACTCAGGAAGATGGTGGTAATGGAGCTCACAGAGTGCCCCTATCAAAAAAAGGAGACCCTCCCCATCAAAAAAGAAAAAAATGGCAGCCGTGGTCAAAGCAGCCCAAACACTGGTGGGTTCTGGCTCACAGCTCACAGCCATTTCACCGTTTGAAAGGCAGCCAGTATGGATGGATAGGAAGAGTGGCTCAGATTGGCCTGTATAGCCAGACACAGCTTTCGGAGCTCAGCCCTGACATTTTATTAAAGTGTTTATTTTCTTTGCCTGTGCGTTAGTATGTGTGCTGTTTGTGTCTGGTGCCTGGGGAAATCAGAAGAGGGCCTTAGATCCCCCAGAACTGGAGTTACAGAAGATTGTGAGACACCATGTGGGTGCTGGGACCTGGACATGGGTCTCCTGTAGGAGCATCCTGTGTCAACCACTGCACCATTTCTCTAGACCTGAGCCTTGGCGTTTAACTCGAGGAACCTTGTGCCTCAACTCACTCATCTGTAGAGTAAAGCTAGTCAGTCATGCTTTTTACTGGTTTCAGGAGCACGGTGACATTAGTAAAGAGTAACCCACCATACACCTACGGTCAGACAGATTAGCAGATGTAACACTTAAGGAATTGTTTCTTTTGTTAATTTTTGTTTTGTTTTAAAAAAGGGTTTCTCTGTGGAGCCCTGGCTGTCCTGAAACTCACTCTGTAGACCAGGCTGGCCTCGAACTCAGAGATCTGCCTCCCTCTGCCTCCCGAGTGCTGGGACTCAAGGCATGAGCCACCTAGATTGCCAACTGAAGTTTAAAGGAGCCCCTAATAAGTGAGATATCTCAGTACTTAAAGCTAGTACTTGGTTCCTGACCCCTAATCATTAAAAAGTCAGTGCCTCCCACCTAATGGCTGTATGACTTTCACAAAGCCTGTCCTTGGCTTTTCACACCAAGTTCTGCCAGATGAGCGCCCAGCTATCTAGGGTCCCCACTGCCTCTGCCTTTCAGCCTGGAGCTGCCACCTTCCTGTTCCTGCCTTCTGAGGCCTCCTCATTCCCCCATATCCAAGAGGCTGTGGAGGATGCTTCCTCAGTGCCCCGGACCCAGCCACTTCTTGTGCTTAGAGGCACCCAATGTGCCCTAGGGCTAAGAGAACAGCAGTGGTTGATTCAGAGCCCCAGGAGCTAAACCGGTACTAAGAACTGATTCTCCTAGCAACTGGGAATTCAAAAGCAGATGCTGCTTCCAGGCCAGACCTCAGAACCTCGAGACCAGGGCTTCTGGAGACAGAGTCCCCACCCTCCAGATGAGTTTCTGTATCAATCTGAACCGCACACTGCTGGAGCCCGGTGGGCTTGTGCTTGAAGAATGTGGCCTTAAGCAGCTGGTGGGGTCCCTGCAGAGAGCATGGCTTCCTTCCCTCTGACTGCCACCTTCAAGGTTCCTCTGTTGTGATCTCAGGTGCCACCCATCCATGGTCTGGCCCAGAGGTGGGAACCTGGAACAGCCACTTCCTGAGCCCTATGCAGGTTCTACCTCTGAGCACACTGGCTTCCTGCCTCTGTACCTTATACGGGTGACATGGCCACAGTGCCCAGGGTTTCCCACTTTCTTCAGCCTTGTGTGTTAGCTAGCTTTCTGTAACTGTCACCAAAATGACTCAAGAGAACAGCTTAAAGGTAGGAATTGTTTATTATGGTCCACATTCGTGCAAGGCTGCAGGGACGGAGCTGACTCAGGTAGTGAGGGAGTGAGGGAAGCACAGATGACGCAGACAGACACACAGACGACACAGACAGACACACAGAAGGGTAAGCAGAAGTCAGTGTACTGTGCACTTGGATGGAGAAAACTCAGCTGCCCACCTGAAGCTCAGCATGTGGATGGTATAGAGAAGAGCAGGGCAGCAGGGGGATTGCACACAGATAAACAAGGAAGCAGGTCACACAACTGATCAAGGGCGCAGGTCTCGCTAACCCCATAGGAGCAGTCTCCATAGGCAAGCAGTTTTGAGTCTACAAACATCCCAGGAATGGGCAGAAAGCTACAGCGGACATTTTCCGCATGCACTGTTAAGAGCCACACTTGGATCAAAGGGAGGCTTTGCCTTGCTTCTGAGCCTCATGCCGAGGGGGAGGCTTTTAGTCTGAGGTTCTGCGATTCTTGACTTGGCTGTGCCCAGTCAACAGCACCCATTTTCCCACCTCTTCACTCAGGGTTTCCTCTGCCCTCTATAGTTTTAATTCATGATTTTATTGTGCCTTTGTTCTGTTGGCGAGAATGGTGTGGCGGAGGCACTGACCTCAGTTGTCCAGTGTGTGGCAGAGGCACTGACCTCATGGCAGACGGGAAGCAGAGAGCAGAGTACAGGAAGGGGCCAGGGCAGCATCCTCAAGAGTGAGCCACCAGTGCATTGCTGCCCTCAACTACGCTCCATTTCCAGCTCCCCCATACTATCATACTGTAACTCTATCAGGCCATAATCCCTTGATGATGCCAGTGACCTCAGGATCCAGCTGCCGCTTCCAAAAAGCCAATCAACTGATTACCGAGCCCAAGTACATGAGCCTGTGGGAGGCAATTTATAATAGCTTGGGAGAGTTCCGAGGCCATCGTCAAGACTCAGTTCTTTCCAAATGAATCTGCAAAGACCGCTCTTATTCCCCAGGGGAATTTAGGGCAGTGTGTTTCTCTGAGATGACTTTTCCACCTTCCAGAATTCCCATTGTCCTCTCCTCTCTCTTCTGTGTTCAGCTCCTAGCTGCCTTCCTAGTGTTAAACCAGTCTTAATAGTCACTGTGCTCAAGGCCACTGGTGGTTGAAGGTGTGGCATGGGGGAAGGGTTTAGGGCTCACTCCTCACTCTACCGTTGTATTGTGACCAGGACAAACTGGTCCTCTAAGTCTCTGAAGCGTCATTCTGATACCAGCCACCTATTTGAAATTATGTCTGTGTCTTAGTCAATGTTCTATTGCTGGGACGAGACACCATGGCCAAGGCAACTCTTATAAAAGAAAACATTTAATTGGGGGCTTGCTTACAGTGTCAGAGGATTTCTGTCATCATTATGGGAGGAGCATGGCAACAGGCAGGTGTAGCGGCATAAGCGAATGCAGACAGATTGTAAAAATATATATATAGCTTTAATGGAGACTTACAGAACCACCGTTCCCGCGGAGACCAGGAAAGCAGAAGCAGCAGCTGGGAGCACGCTCACCAAATTTATGGGCAAACATTAGCCCGAGGCGAACACGCCCCCTTAGGGGCGGGACTTATCCCTACATCTCCCCTTTTTGTCTAAATAAGACAGAACTAAACCAAATACAACTATATACAATAATAACAAATAATAAATATAACAAACAATATTGAGAACAAAAGTTTTGCTAAACATTCTATCTCAAGGAGTCTAAATAATGTAGAGAGTAACTACAATTATATAATCTTCAACTCCGTCAAAGATCTGAGAAGGGAAAATATTACTTAACAAACGAGATATATCTAAAATGTGCAACAATTGACAGAGACAACTGACTACCTGGGCAATCACCCAAAGTCTCGTTTGCAACGTTGAGTCAACCAATTTTGGCTAAGGCCTAACATAACTGACATACCATTATTAAAGGCAAGGAACTTTTCAAAACTATCTTACCCTCTCTTGGCAGGATATGACAGTCCTGTTTTATCCATTGATGCATGCTCTGTATCTCTGTCAGTGGTTGAGGTATGGGCATTTCTTTGCCCAAAGGCCAGTTCTGCCAAATAGAAAGGCTCCAGGTGGAGTGTCTTTGGTGCTCAACATTCTCTCGGGAATAGAGTGGTGTTGCCAGGAGCAATTGTGTCTCACTACCACAAAACTCTGAGTTAGATTAAAGGCCATTTTCTACAGCTCTTTGAAGAGGTTGAAGATTATCTATCTATACTGAGTATAATCTCTATATATCTAGAGAACCTGATTAGTCTAATTATAAATGACAAACTTAGATGACTATTTATCTATATAATTCTCAATATCTATCTAACTTAAAGACTAAGACAATAAACAACTGTGTAACAAATGAGGATAATGACCTCCAAATATAAACACTGTACAAATATACATTGCAATATGGTAAATATATATCAATACACAAACATTATATAAATTTCTTAATCAGAGGTAGAAATGTACACTGCAATATGGTAAATATATACAATATATATATATCAATACAATATATGTCAATACATAAAAATGTTTTAAACAGACATAGAAACATGCATGCATACAATAGTCAATATAATTTAACTTTGTATCAATATACAAGAATCGATACCAATATATTTGTCTAAAAGCAGTAACTCACAATTATAAATCTATTATTCCATCATCCCCTCTTTTTTTTTTTCAAATTGATCCCTGAGCTTATAAAATTCCTCCCCCAACCTCCCAACCCCTAAATGATGTCCCTAAACCCAGGGGTAAACTTTACTGGGAGAGGGGACGTCGTCCTCTAGAATTACTTCCAGCTGTCATGGGGGCGACGTTCTTTCTGGGGGATCCTGTGAAAGTAAAATGGTGGTTAAATTTCAAGATCAATGTCTTTTAAAATTGCAAATAGTCTCTGAGTATTTTGTGGAGGTCTGGCCAGAATGTTGTACAAGATGTGCACCATTTCAGCTAACCAAGTTGGGATCGTCTTGTGCAGCTGGTATCCAAAACAGGTCTTGTAGTAGCACTATCAGTATCATGACGTCATATCAACCAGGTAGAGTTGTTGTTGTGGGGCCCCATCTTCTTCCTGGAAACTTCAAATGTCACTTCAGGAAAAACTCATTGTTCATTGTGAAAAACTTAAACATTAGTCATATAGACATACATATATATATTCAATGAAAGGCATGATAGATATATTCAATGAAAAGTATGATAGATATGGAGAAAAGCAAAGATGTTTTCTAAACTCATATTTCTTTCTGTCCCATATCATGGCTCTTGACATGAGACAGAAACTCCAGAAACTCTGGGTTTTTCTCTTATTAACAGGCTTGGAATTGGAGAGGGACTGAGCCAGAGTCCAACTTCAAAACCAGCTCTACGTATTTATAAAGAAATGTTTAATAAGATATATATATATATATATAAAATTAATACTTACAAAAATGTGTCCATCCATCAGTAATTAAATATTCAGGGTCCCTTAATTTCTTTGAAGATGAGTATTTTCCTGTGGAGATAAGAAAAGAACCCTGGGCTGGGCGGTGGTGGTGCAGCCTTTAATCCCAGCACTCGGGAGGCAGAGGCAGGTGGATCTCTGTGAGTTCGAGACCAGCCTGGTCTACAGAGCTAGTTCCAGGACAGGCTCCAAAGCCACAGAGAAACCCTGTCTCCAAAAACAAAACAAAAAAAAAAACCAAAAAAAAAAAAAAGAAAAGAACCCTGCCTCCAACCTATCTCTGTATTTCTTACCGTCAGTATCTTCGCCATCCTTATGAAAGAATTGTTATTTATCTTTTCCAAGTGGCTTCTCTTCTTCAAACCGAACCTTTATTAATTTTGATGGTATCCACAATTTTTCCTCACCTGTGGAGATAAGAGCAAAACCCCTTCCCCAACGTAGCACATCTCCTGGCTTCCATTGTGAGGTCGGCACATCCTTGAAATAAACTGGTTGATTTAGTTCAGTAGACTTTTCCATTATCCAATGTCTTTCTGCATCCGTTGTTCCCTTCTCATTAGCGTTGAGAAAATTCAAGGTTAACAAAGCATTATGTAACCTATTTCTGGGGGTGTTTTCCACCCCTTTCTGTTTGTTCAACATATCCTTTATAGTTCGATTTGATCTTTCTATGACTGCTTGACCTGTAGGATTGTATGGTATACCTGTAACATGCTTGATATTGTAATAATCAAAAAACCGTTTCATTTTCCTAGAGACATAAGCAGGACCATTATTCGTCTTTATTTGTGTAGGTATACCCATGATAGCCATGACTTCTAATAAATGAGTGATTATTGAATCAGCTTTTTCTGAACTTAAAGCAGTTGCCCACTGAAAGCCTGAATAAGTGTCAATGGTGTGATGAACATATTTTAATTTGCCAAATTCTGCAAAGTGGAACACATCCATTTGCCAGATTTCATTCCTTTGGGTGCCCTTTGGATTAGCCCCTGCAGGCAGTGGCGTTTGGTTATAGAAAGAGCAAGTAGGGCACTTCTTTACAATCTCCTTAGCTTGTTGCCATGTAATTGAAAATTCTTTCTTCAAACCTTTGCTATTAACATGATGTTTTTTATGAAATTCAGAGGCTTGTAGCACACTGCCAATCAATAATTGATCAATTTCTGCATTATCTTGTGCTAGAGGACCTGGCAGACCCGTATGGGATCGGATGTGTGTTATGTACATAGGGCAAAGCCTGTTCCTGATCAAATCTTGAACCTGGAGAAACAATGAGGTTCGTTCTGTATCATCAGGTATAAATTCAGCAGTTTCAATATGTAAAATAACTCTTTCTGCATATTGTAAATCTGTAACTATATTCATAGGTTCTTTAAAATCTCTTAGCACCATAAGAATGGCATATAATTCCGCCTTCTGGACAGAATTATACGGACTTTGTTCCACCTTACCCAAGTCTTCTGATTTGTAACCTGCCTTCCCTGATTTATTGGTATCAGTATAGAATGTACGGGCTCCAGTTATTGGAGCATCATGGACGATTCGAGGAAGAATCCAAGAAGTTCTCTTTATGAAGTTAAGCCTCTTGCTTTTTGGATAGTTGTTATTAATGTCTTCCAAAAAATTAGCACAAGCTCTTTGCCATGGTTCATTATCTTCCCATAATTTCTTTAGTTCATCAGCAGTGAAAGGCACTATAATTTCTGCTGGGTCTATGCCTGCTAGTTGACGAAGTCTCAGCTTGCCTTTTTAATTAACTCAGAGACTTTTTCCACGTAAGTTTTCAGTTTCTTACTTGGTTTATATGGTAAAAAGATCCATTCCAAAATAATATCATCTCTCTGCATTAAAATTCCTGTAGGAGAAATTTTTGATGGTAGTATGATGAGAATACAATTGAGCTCTGGATTCACCCTGTCCACATGTGCCTGTTGTAATTTTTCCTCAATCATTGTCAGTTCCTTTTCTGCTTCAGTTGTTAATTCTCTGGGACTGTTTAAATCTTTATCACCATCCAAGGTTTTGTTCAAATGAATTATTAGATCAGGTGTTATTCCAATAGCTGGTCGTAGACTGGAAATGTCTCCTAACAGTCTTTGAAAGTCATTAAGAGTCTGTAGGCGATCTCTCCTAATTTGTGCTTTTTGTGTCTTAATTTTTTGCAAACCTATTTTATAACCTAAATAATTAACAGAATCTCCCTTCTGAATCTTTTCAGGAGCGATTTGCAATCCCCATTTAGGTAAAAGTATCTTTATTTCTTCAAACAGTCTTTTCAAGGTATCCATGTTTGAATCGGATAACAAAATGTCGTCCATGTAATGGTATACTATAGATTTGGGAAATTTCTTGCGTATTATTTGCAATGGTGCTGGAGAAGTAACTGAGAGCTGCTACATCCTGATCTTTAGGCAGAAAGAGAGACTGGACCTGGCATGGGCTTCTGAAACCTCAAAGCCTATCCCCAGTAACACACATTCACCAACAAGACCACACCTCCTAATTCTTCTAATCCTTTAAAATAGTGCCACTCCCTGGTGACTGAACATTCAAACATATGAGGCTATGGGGCCGTCCTTATCTAAACCATTACGGTTTGTGAAAACAAGCATTCTTAGTAGGTCAACAGTTATAAAGCACACACTCAGTGCAAGTCTCAGGGCATCGTAAGTGCACAATAAATGTATGGAGCACTCCAGGGACAGCCGAAGGAAGGGAGGACAGGAAGTTAGCCATTTTACAGGATGAAGATGAAGGTCTTAAGGTAAGGTGAGGTCCAGAAAGAACGGGGAGACATTTTTCTCTTAGCCCTCTCTATCCTGAGGTATATGACGGTGTCCCTATTCCTCCTGGACCTGGGGGAAAGGACATTTGGGGCTGGCTCTCAGCAGAGAAGCACAAATACAATATCCAGGGCTGACCGCAGATTCAGGCTGGGTTCAAGTAGAGAGGTCACTGGGGCTGATGGAGAGGTGACCCAGTCCTGAGACTGTGTACAGTCCACCTGTGACACAGGGTGGACGCCGTGTCCTGAGACTGGTGCAACCCTCTGTCTGGGCACAATCTGATCATCCATTCAACTGATACTTACTGAACATCTGCCACGTGCCAGGCGTGGCCCCAGGCCCTGAGGGCCGCTGTGGACTGGGGAGGCTGGACCTCTGTGATCTGGCTTCGCCAGGCGCTGCTGTCTAGCTGCAGTATCCCTGCCTTGTAGACACTCATCACTGCTGTGGGGCAGACAGTCTACACGGTGGCCTCTGTGCTGACTCTGCTCTTCGTCCTCATGTACATCTTCGCTATCCTGGGATTCTGCCTGTTTGGCCTTGTGGAGAGGGGCGACCTGAATAACTGGGGGAACCTGGCTTCAGCTTTCTTCACGCTCTTCAGTCTGGCTACGGTACTTGTGTTTGGGGTTGGGGACCGTGGCGAGGGTGGAGCCTGGAGAGGGACTGTCTAGGAAGTGTGAGCGTGTAGACATGTTGGGCCTCTTGTGGAGCCTTCCCCACTTTCAGGTGCTTATTAGTGGGCACAGGAAGCTGGGGTTCCCTGCTGGGGCAGTCGTAGGCCAGTGGGCTCCAATTCTGTCTCTAATTCCGTGATTTTATAAATCGCTCCGTGGGTTGCACAGGATAATAAAACTTGCTAGAATTCTCAAATGATACTTAATTTGGATTAACCTTGTTATAAATGAAGCCCACAACATACAATTATTTTTTTAAAAAAACAAGCTGTCACAAATTCACCCAGAATAAGCAAAACCCAAGTCTCAAAGTCTAGACTTTTGAAATATATAAAGAGTGGCATTTTTTTTTTAAAAATTGTTTTGCTTTTATTTTTTCCAAGGATGGGCCTGGAAATAGACTGTACATTTTAGGAGAAAATGGGAGATCTTGAGACAAGAGACTCTCTTAAACACATTGGCTTCCAACTAGTGGCACCCTGCATTTCTTTCTTTCTTTCTTTCTTTCTTTCTTTCTTTCTTTCTTTCTTTCTTTTTTCGAGACAAGGTTTCTCTGTAGCTTTGGAGCCTGCCCTGGAACTAGCTCTGTAGACCAGGCTGGCCTCGAATTTACAGAGATCCGCCTGCCTCTGCCTCCTAAGTGCTGGGATTAAAGGCGTGCGCCACCACCGCCCGGCTCCTACATTTCTATGTGTAGCTGACAGCCAGTGGATGGGGAGGGGCCAAGGACTGATGTGGAGACGGAGCTGGCAACCACCTTAGTGGGTCTGGCGCTCCTCTGGCATAGGTGACATGGAAACCTACCCTGCTGGGTCTCGGTGCTCAGTATACCCTGCCTTGCCTGACTAGGTTGATGGCTGGACAAACTTGCAGGAGCAGCTGGACCAGAGGAAGTTTACTGTTAGCCGGGCCTTCACCATCCTCTTTATCCTGCTTGCTTCCTTCATCTTCCTCAACATGTTTGTAGGTGTGATGATCATGCACACGGAGGTAAGTCTGTGCCTGTAGAGTGTGTGTGCGCGCGTGTGCATGTGTAGAGTGTCTGTGCCTGTAGAGTGTGTGTGCGCACGTGTGCATGTGTAGAGTGTCTGTGCCTGTAGAGTGTGTGTGCGTGCGTGTGTGCATGTGTAGAGTGTCTGTGCCTGTAGAGTGTGTGTGTGCGCGTGTGTGCGTGTGCAGTGCTCAGGTTAGGTATGGCAGATAGAGGCATGGGCCAGGTGACCCCTCTCATGTGCGCCTCTTCTCCCTGAGTTCACCACTTCACGATGGGACCGGCAGGCCGGTGGAGTGGGGTTCAGGGCAAGCTAGGCAGAGAAAGGCTGGGAACAGAGAGCTGCAGAAGAGACACCGTGGTCTTGACTTATCTGTTCTGCTTGCTAGGACTCCATCAAAAAGTTCCAGCGGGAGCTGATGGTGGAAAGGCACGTGACACTTCTGGAGGAGAAGCAATTGATCCTGAGGCGCCAGCAGGAGGAGGTCAACAGGCTGATAACCACCAAGGTAGTTGGCCACACCGGAGAAATGACAGACAGACAGAGGATTGGCTAGGAGGAAGGGCTTTGCACTCAAGTAGAGGTCAGGTGGTCTCAGGCGCGTGTGGTTTTGGGTAAGGCAGGCCTCTTCCCCTGCAGCCACGAGAGCCCTGCCTTTCTTTCTGTGTGTGTATTTCCCGGAACAATGTGGATCCTTGGTGGATGGCTCCCCACTGTGGGGTCCTTCGTGCTGGAGCTTCTCACTGAGGTTCCTCTGGTATCAGGCAGCTCAACCCCAGGCCACTGTGTGGGTGAGCATGGGATGCTCGGCCAGGGTGTCACTCAATCTCATATCTCCCCCTCCCCCCAGGTTCCTTGAATCAGGACAAGAGTAAGCACAGTGTCAAGAGTCAGCCAAGCATGGCACCACCTTGTAGGCTGCACTCTTTTCTGTCTGATGCTCTTGGTCTAACTTGGGGGCCCTACTGGGTCCTTCGGCTGTCAGAGTGTCTTTTTTCTGAGGTAGACCTGCCAGTCTCTCATGCCCAAGGTTTGTTCAGGGTTGGAGGAGGCCACACAGAATCACCCTTAGACATTCTCTTGTTCCTTTAGACCCTTGGCCTCACACCAGGGATGGTGATCCATGAGACTGTTTCTTTCCCACAGGCTCTGGGCTCAGTGGTCAGGATGAACTTGGGACTCTTGGAGTCCACAAGGGTTATCAGGTCTCTGTAGCTTGGCTGCTCTTGTCCTTGGTCTCTCATTGCTTTCCTCTCTAGAAAACCGGAGGCAAGAACTTCACGGAGCTGGTGGAGGAATTCAAGAAGACCCTACGGCACACGGATCCCATGGTCCTGGATGATTTTGGTACTAGCCTCCCCTTCGTCAATATCTACTTGTCCACTCTGGACAACCAGGACAATACTCTCAAGAAGTGAGTGACTGGTCCCCATGGCTTCTTCAATGCCAGGGCATATTGTAGACCCCAGGAGATGGAAGGGTTTGTAACCAAGGTGCATGGGTGGGTACACAGAGTTCCTCCCTGAGAGTGCAGGATCCCATGTATGCCTGGGTGCTTGGGCTGCTGTGTGCAAGGGTCTGTGTTGGAAGGGGCTCTGCTCTGCTGGCCCTCCCAACTCTCTTTCTCTCTCTCTTCCCCTCCCTCCCTCCTCCTCTGCCTCCCTCTCCCCTCCTCCTCCTCCTCCTTCTTCTTCTCTCTCTCTCTCTCTCTCTCTCTCTCTCTCTCTCTCTCTCTCTCTCTCTCTCTCTCTCTCTCGTTTGTACCCAGATGTTTTGTTTGCTTCCCTCGTCTCTTCAGGCCCCTGCTCACTAACACTTTCCAGGGAGCAGCGAATATGTGTGCAGGAGGTGCTAAGTCAAGTGCAGAGGGTCCTAGCTTGGCTCTGCTGCCATCTTCCTTTTAGCTTTGAACAAGTACCACACAAAGAGCCACTGGGCCAGCTACATGAGACCCGACTCAGGTCTTATCCTCAGTGCCAGCTAACTGGGGTTTTGGCTGGCAGCTGAGGAGTTGTGGACACTAGGAAGCTACTGTGGACTCTGAGCAAGAGACTTCAGTGACTAGGGGAACTGACTGGAAAGGAGTGAACCAGGGAATGCCCATTTTGGGTTCAAGCACAGGCCAGGTACTGTTTAGGCACCAGCATGCCATCCCTGCTTGCAGAGTGCAGGGGATTGTTGTGGACATGCTACATGAGACGGATGAGTTAGCTTATGTCGGGGACCCCCGGCAGAGGGACAGATGCAGGGTTCCAACCTACCTGGAGTCTTACTTCTCTCCTGATCCTACACAGACCCCGTGGGTTCCATGACTGCACGGGTACCAGTATGTGGTATGTGGGGACGGCATGGCATGGAGCCTGCTTTGTCCTCAGGTCTCCGCTCCTCTGCTCTCCAGGCTTCAGGAGCTGTACTATGAGATCGTGAATGTGCTGTGTCTGATGCTTGAAGACCTGCCCCAGGAGAAGTCGTCCCACAGCTCGGAATTACTGATTTAGAGGTAGTGGGGCATGTGTGACCTCAAAAGCGTAGCAGTTCCATTAAACAGCGGCCTTCAGAGGTGGCTTCCAAACTTGTTACAGTCTTGGTGTTGGTAAGACCTGCCTTTGGGGGATAGGCCTGGGTGAGTGCTCATGGAAGTCGCTCTCCCAGGGCCTCGGTTGCGGGAACAGGTGGGTTCAAGATCTACCCTGGCTAATAACGACACTCGGTGGACTCTCTAAACCCGACAGCAAGGGCCCACTGAGCTCCCAGGGAAGCTGCCCGAAGACCACAGACCAACAAGAGCCTCCGTGGCTCTGTCACTGCTCATGACCCCTGCAGGCTGACCTGTGCAGCTGCCCCTGTCTGACAGACCCGTTACCCACACAGACTCTACTTTGGAAGTTCATGTTGATTTCCTCAGGGTTCATGCCAGTGCCTGTGGTGTGACCAGAAAGGTTAACATCCTGGACTTCTGCCCAGGGGAGCCGCCTACTGGCCATGTTAGGACATCTCCTGGAGTCTGGAGCTGCAGCTGGCCCTTCAGACTTCTCTCCTGTGATTGGTTAAGACTGTTTAGATGGTGGCGTTTTCTGTATCACTACTGGCCAAATGTCTCTTGGAAGTGCGAAAGCGGTAGGACCACTGTGCAGGGTTAGAGCCATCCGAAGATCCCCTGGGGCAGGCCAAGGAAGGCCAGGGCATCAGGACCTCTTGCTCTAGACAGGTCAGCTCAATCCTGGTAGTGCCACTTGCTCCTCACTGATGTGCTCTGTGCCTGAGACCTGTCAACTGCACTGTGTCATCTTAAATAGAGAGGGATGTAGGTCCTGAGAAATGTGTGGAGGGAGACTGGTACCCTCTGCTGGGTACCACTGGCCCCAGCTGTGAGCAGGACAGCGAGAAGCAGAGGTGGTAGACCTAGACATGGTCCTCACCTGCGAGGGACCCTTTCCCAGCGGTTGCCTAATGTCACCCTGCGTAGCAGATATTTTCACTATGATTCATAGCCGTAGCGAAATTACAGGCATGAAGTGGCGGCAGAGATAATTGTATGGTGGGGGTCATCACAGCGTGAGGAACTCTATTGAAGGGTCGCAGCGTTAGAAAGGTTGTAGACCAGAGGTTCCATGGTTGGCCAAGGGGCTCTGGCTTGAGTTGTGGTAGCCTGAGGCCAGGGGACAAGGGCAGGAGAGGGAACCTTTCCTCATGGCTTCATTTGTACCCAGAGCAGTGCTCAGTGAGCTGTGCCGTGTACGGGGTCTTTGGTGATGGAAGCTGAGTACACTCCTGGCAGTCAAATCTAGCCAGTTACGTGTTCAGAGGTACAGAAGACCTTTTTCTTCTCCTCCCCCCTCCCCTCTTCCTCGTCTCCTCCTCCTCTTCTTTTTTCTTTTTAAGACAGGGTTTCTCTGCTCCTGCCTATCCTGGAAGTTGCTCTGTAGACTTCTGTAGAGCAGGCTGGCCTTGAACTCACAGAGATCCACCTGCCTCTGCCTCCCAAGTGCTAGGATTAAAGGCGTGCACCACCACCCACGGCCTGGCCTTGTTTATAAGAGCCTCAGGTCATTTCCCCGAGCCAACACTCACCTTCCAAGGACATGGAGAGAGAGAGAGAGAGAGAGAGAGAGAGAGAGAGAGAGAGAGAGAGGAGAAATTGCTAGTGGGGGTGTGACAGCTTGCCCTGCTGTGGAGGGCCCATCGGGTAGGGGGTGCCATCAACCTGTCTTCTGTGCTGATGTTTAGACATGGGCCTGAGATCAGTTGAGTGTCTATGTCCCTTTGGTAGTTGGAGAAGCTTGGGGTTTTAGTGCCAGTGAGGAGATTTAAATAACCATGCTGAGAGCAGCCCACTAACAGGGTAAGTAGGTCTGAGGTAGTGGTTCCAGTTTGGGTCTAGGGCAAAGCAGGCAATGTTATTTGCTGGCCATAAATGTCCCCCTAGCATGAGGAACATGGAACTCACCCACCTGCTCCCTTTAGGAACCTTGGGAATTTCCCAGGCATTTTGAAGTGAAGAAAGAGATGGGAAACCTTGCCCAGGAAGGCCCCTGGTTTGGAGTTAGGACAAAACTGACTGCTTAGAAGGACTAAACTGAGTCGGGCAGTGGTGGCACACACCTTTAATCCCAGCACTTGGGAGGCAGAGGCAGGGGAATCTCTGAGTTCAAGGCCAGCCTGGTCTACAAGAGCTAGTTCCAGGATAGGCACCAAAGCTACACAGTGAATCCCTGTCTTGGGGAGGGGGGGGCGCAGAGGGGAGGAGCAAACTGAACACATGTAAGAGAGTAAGGAATGTTGCCAAGCCAGGATTTGGTACTTCCTAGTGCTCGGCCCCCTCTGCCCTGGGCTTGGTGGACAGAGGAAGCTGAGCAGTGCTCAGAGGGCAGGAGTCTATGCAGGGCCCTGTGTGAATGCGTCTCCAGATAGAACTGGTTCCAAACGTGAAAACAGGAGGTTAGATCTGGAGAGCCAGGTCCCAGGTCCCAAAGGATGCCCAGGTGCACAGGCCACCAGATGTGGGGGGCACTCGCAAGTCACCTTTAGGTACAAGAAGGCTTTGGAGAACAGAGAACTGGGAGAGGTGACGTGGTCAGGGCTGGCCCGGCCCCACTGGCGGAATAAACCCGTGGCTATTTGGCATAGAGGCCCGGAGCAGCGTTTCTGTTTGGCTCTCGCAGTCCACAGAGCAAACACTGGCAGCTTGCAAGTCCCACTTGGGTTCTCACCAACTCAAACAGGCTTGGCCAAGACTCGGATTGATTTGCTAGGGACAGCAGAAGTTCTGCTTGCCCGGGCCTGGCTGTGGAAAACAGGACTTTCTTCCCTGTATAACTCATAACAGGGCTGTCCTGAGATTTCTGTTAGTGCCAGGTTCTCCCCCGGCTCTTGCAGGAGAGATGTGGAATCTGAATTGGAGGTGGTTTCTCTGTTTCTGTTTTTGTTTGTTTTTGTTACTCCCCTCTACCACTGCTGAGTCCTCCAGCAATCTAGTGATGTGGAGACCATCTCTATTCGAGCAGCCTTTCGAAACTTGGTAGCTAGACACTGGGAGCAAGCAGTACACCTTGGTGTCTTTAAACAAACAACACGGGATGTCTCTCAACTGAACTAGTCTTCGACAGGCAGGGTTCTCTCTCTCACTGGCATCAGATCATTGCCTGTTTCTCACTCTGTCCTGGGCCCCACATGGGCTTGCTCCATTGTTCTGCAAGCATTTGAAAAGGTGACTGAATTCCTCCACAGTCCCCACAGAAAGGAGACTCGGGCAGAAAGGAGGGAGTCCAGTGGGACTGACACGTCTTCTCTAGACCACTCCTCCCTGGAGAGAACATCCTTGTGCCTGGTCAGCCAGGCCACCCTCTGCTGAGTGCTGTCTTATGTTTCTCCAGAGCAGTGCTTCTCAGTGCTTCCTAATGCTACAACCCTTTAATATAGTTCCCCATGCCCTGGTGACCCCAACCATAAAGTTATTTTGTTGCTACTTCCTAACTGTAATTTTGCTGTTATAAATTGTAATGTAAATATCTGATATGTTCCCCCCCCCCCCCAAGGGGTCAAGACAGACAGGTTGAGAACCACTGCATTAGAGACTTTGTGTGTCGAGCCCTGGAAGGACTGTGCTGTGCAGGGCCAGAGCTGGGAGGAGAACATTCTTAGCTCTTGGTTCTCCTCCAGGGTGGAGGAGAACCAGGGTAGCAAAGCAGAGGGTACTCATTGCACAGACGTGGGCTTGGTGTATCTGCTTGAGAGCAGCTGGGGGAAGGGAGGGGAGGGAGAGGGCAGAGCCGAGGCTGGGTAGATGGTCTATGACAGTCTGATATCCTTCTGGGCTGAGAGTTGGATCCTGCCATTCCCTGAGAAAGGCAAGCAATCTTTGGGATTTTTTTTTTTTTTGAGACAGGGTTTCTCTGTATAGCCCTGGCTGTCGTGGAACTCACTCTGTAGAATAGGCTGCCCTTGAACTCATAGAGATTCAGCTGCCACTGCTTTTGGAGTGCTGGGATTAAAGGTGTGTGCCACCACTGCCCAGCCTTTAGTTGCTATACTGGACCTTTTAAGTGGAGCCCAGTACTCTAATAGATTAGACCTATATTTATTTAGGTTACATTAAAGATCCTCTGGGGCATAGGTGTCTAGCTCAGTGGTGGAGAGTTGCCTAGTGTGTGTGTGTGTGTGTGTGTGTGTGTGTGCGCGCGCGCGCGCGTGTGTGTGTGTGTGTGTGTGTGTGTGTGTGTGTGTGAGAGAGAGAGGTCTAGGTTTCCAAGATAGAGATGGTAGAGTAACAGAGATATAGATAGATAAGACAAGATTATCTTTAAACTGGGAGTTGTTAATAAGTCTAGGTGTGGTGCACGCCTTTAATCCCAGCACTCTGGAGGCAGAGGCAAGCAGGTCTCTGAGTTTGAGGCTAGCCTGGTCTACAGAGCTAGACAGCCAGGGCTAGGACAGCCAGGGCTACACAAAGAAACCCTGTCTTGAAAAACCAAAACTAAACCCAACCAACCAACCAATAAACAACAACAACCTAGAAGCTTCCTCTAGTATCTCAGAGGTGGTAGCACCGAGCATGACTGTCTTTTGCAAAATGAAATGACTCAAAAAGGGAGCATGGAAGAGGCCACAAGGGAATGGGGAGTTTGTTTTCTAACTCCAAGAATCAGGGTTGATTGAAGCTTGTGCATACCAACCATGAGAGAGGGAGGGGCTCAGGGCAGAATCCCTACTGCCCTCTGACCCTTCCCAGGGTGCCCTGTCTTGGGACTGAGGCCTGAGGTGAAAAAAAAAAAAAAAAAAACACAAAACTTGACACTGAGCCAGAGGAGGAACGAGCCAAGCAGAGGTCAGGCCAGGCCCAAAGGTGCAGCTTTCTGTCTTTGTTGGCCAAGGAAATCCTGCTTTCTGCTTGCTGGCACTTCCGTTCACCGGCCTCCTAAACACGTACAGATGTAAGCACAGAACCCCAACATGGGTGTCTTCATGGTTTCCATTGAGCAGGGGGCAAAACTGAGGTTCAAAGAGGCGATGTAATGGGTCTGGGGTTGCAC